GTGCACGCTGTAGGCCTCAGCTCTGGAACCACTTCCTCAGACACCTTTCCTGGACTCCCTACATGGGTCAAACCCTAAATTACAGGCATTCATAGCACAGCGTGGCTCTTGCAGTTGCTCAAGCCAGAAAGTTCTGAGTGATCCTTCCCTCCTCCCTCTCTGTGTTCCAGATCTAATCCCAGTCCTGCTGGCCAGACCTTCAAAATCTAGCCTCCATCAATACTCAGTCCAAGCCTCATCACCTTCTTCCTAGACGATGCTTCCTTCCCTTTACTGCCAAGCTCGGCAGCCTGAGAGATTTTTTGAAACCTAAGTCCTATTACATCACTCTGATCAAAACCTTTTCCATGATCCCCATTGTCAAAGCCAATCAATGCTCCCAGGGCCTACAAGATGAGCCCCCACCCATGACCTCACGGTAGGCTGTCCTCTCCCCTCCCCCTCCCCGCCACCCAGGACAGCGGTCTGGCCGCAGTGCCCTCCAGGCCCTTCCCCAGACATGCCAGACACACCCGTCCTTAACATTTGCAAAAACTGATCCCTAGGTCTGGAACACTCTCCCTCCAGACAGCCTCCCGGCTGACCCCTCTACCTCCCTCAAGTCTCTGCTCCATCATCATCTCCATAAGGCTGTGACCACCCTATTTAAAACCCGCCCATCCCCCTTCCTTTTACTCGGCTCTACTTTTTCTTTCTTCCACGGCATTTACCACCTGACAATCCACACCGTTTGCTTACGTTTGTGTAGGATGTCTATCCCGCACTAAGGCATGGTCAGTTACTACCGGTGCTGCCCCCCAATACCCAGAGCTGTGCCTGGCAAGTAGCACACACTCATATTTGTGGAATAAATAGCTTTATGCTGGTCTGTGGGATTAACCCATCAATGGGCCTCTGATTCACTGCCGAACAGGGACTGGTTTGGTTTCCTCCATCACTGGATTTCCCAGAACCTAAGGCAGAGCTCCGCAAAGACTAAGTACACAAACGTTTGTTAAATGACGAGTTTCATCTTTTTTTTTTTTTTTTTTTTTTTTTAGCCTATCAGAGGATACAAACTTAAAATGACAGATATCATTCAGGGCTGGTAAGAGTGTAAAGGAAATCCACTCTCTTCATATACTGTTGGCAGGCATGAAAATGATACCTTTTTTGAGAGCAAGCTAGCAAAAGCTATTAAAATTTAAACCATTCGGAATTCTTACCCTTTAATTCAATAGTCTTACACAAGTAAAAGAGCACCTAAAAAAAATAGGTGCAAGATTATCTACTGCAGCACCGCTCATAAAATAATGAAAAACTTGAAAACAATCTACTTGTCCATCATTAGAAAAACTGGCCAATAACTCCAGCACAGCACATGCATGGGAGGGAACACTCCTGAACAAGAATGAAACAGATCCAGAACACTGACCTGGAAAGTAGTTCGTGATCCAGTGAACTGACCACAGGGCCTGGGCATCAGATGGGCGGGGCTTGACTCGGGGCTCCCACCCCCACCCCACGTCCTAGCTACAGAACTCTAACTTTTAGAAGCACTTTTCACTTCTCTGTACTTCAGTTTCCTCATCAATAAAATAAGGAAAACAATAGACAGCAGCAGTCACCTCCCTGATAGGAAGATCCCATGAGATAATATGCAGTGCTTCCAGCACAGGACACAGCCCCAGAACTCCAAGCACGTGATAAATACACCTAACATGTACTGAGACAGACGAGGTCTGCACACCTACACACGGGCGGCACGTCCGTTTCAGCAGCAAAGTTAGCATGTCTGTGTGACTACAGGAAAAAAGTCAAGAAGGACAAGACACTTAATAGTGGTGACCCCTGGGGAACTGGAGTTGACCCAGTTCTGCTTAATACGCATACTTTTTTTTTTTAATATTTTTATTTATTTCTAGGAGAGAGAGAGAGACAGCGTGAGCAGGGGAGGGTCAGAGAGAGAGGGAGTCACAGACTCTGAAACAGGCTCCAGGCTCCGAGCTGGCAGTCAGCACAGAGCCCGACGTGGGGTTCGAACTCACGAACCGCAAGATCATGACCTAAGCGAAAGTCGGACGCTTAACCGACTAAGCCACCCAGGCGCCCCAATGCATACTTTTTTAATGGAGAGATTTTACAAGGCAGTGTTTTCAAATAATAAATAAAATCAGAGCAAATGCTTCTACAATATATTTTAACTTGGATTTTAAAATATTAAAATTCCAGGGGCACCTGGGTGGCTCAGTCAGTTAAGTGTCAAACTCGATTTCAGCTCAGGTCATGATCTCATGGTTTGTGAGTTCGAGTGCAGAGCCTGCTTGGAATTCTCTCTCCCCCTCTATGTCTGGCCCTCCCCCGCTCTTTCTCTCTCAAAATAAATAAACTTATTAAAAAATAAAATATTAAAACTTGAAAATTTTTACATTGCATTCTCGAGGCAAAATGGCATAACGAGATGTGGATGAAATTTCTCTGGCTATTAAAATCCCCTGGATTCAGCGCGCCTGGCTTGCTCAGTCAGTTAAGCGATCGACTTGGGCTTAGGTTATAATCTCACAGTTCGAGGGTTCCAGCCTTGCATCGGGCTCTGTGCTGACAGCCAGCTCAGAGCCTGGAGCCTGCTTCAGATTCTGTTCCCCTCTCTCTCTGACCCTCCCCTGCTCACACTGTCTTTCTCTCAGAAATAAATAAAACATTAAAAAAAAAGTAAAATAAAATAAAATCAGGGCGCCTGGGTGGCTCAGTCAGTTAAGCATCCGACTTCAGCTCACGTCATGATCTCACAGTTCATGGGTTCGAGCCCCACGTCGGGCTCTGTGCTGAAAGCCAGCTCAGAGACTGGAGCCTGTTTTAGATTCTGTATCTTCCTCTCTGACCCTCCCCTGTTCACGCTTTCTCCCTCTCAGAAATAAATTTTTAAAATAAAATAAAATATTTTAAAAAATAAAATAAAATCACCTGGATTCTAAATGAATATGCAAAGACATTCCAGCAAAAGACAAACAAAAATACCTTTTTCAATAAATTTACAAAACAAGGAATTAAAAAGAATAAAAAATTATATTTCATCCTATCAATTTACACACACATCGGTTTTCTTCATCTACCATATTCTCATGGAGACCAAAGATATGTCAACAAAGGTAAACAATATCAACCCAAAGACGGCTACTTCTAAAATGAGACAGGCAAGATTAAAGTAAAAAACTAAACAGTGATCTTTTACTGGCAATTCAACTCAAAAGAATTCTGCATGTATTTTGAAAACTCAGCAGGGCTAGGACATTTGAGTGTGCCGAAAGCTAACGTGTTAAGAAGTGACCTATATTAAGTTCGGCCAAAGAGAAAAATTAAATCCCCAAGATGAACTTCTTAGAAGACGCTGACACAAAGCACTCAAAAATACTGACTTCTCTCCATCTACACACAGCGGCTGTGGCTGCTCACTTACCACACTAATTGAAAATAAATACAGCAATCTACACAAACTAAATCCCATCCTAGAGTCACAGGATTTGAAAAACAGGGAATAAACCTGTGCTAAGAATAGCAAGGATACAAGATTTCCTAGAGCTAATTTTTCCTACCCTCCTTCAAGTGCTTAGTCATTTCTCCCTATTTACAAGGAAGACCATTTCCCATCTTTAAAAGAGGAGAGAATTTTTATTCCAGGCAGTGTCACCTGAGCTGCCCCAGACGTTTGTTTCCATGCAACTCTGGGGAAGGCAGCGCCAGCTAAGCATACCTACCCCTCCAGATCAGAACCAGAAGCCACTGGAGCTCTCGGTGTTCCGCCTCCGTCAGCAGTAACAAAGACGGGTTTGTGGAAAAGCAAAGTTTTCCTCCCTGACAGCAAATGCAAAAGGTGAGAAGGCCGCACGCCATGGCAGCTTGCTTCCCGGGGGCGCGAGCCCACCAGAGATCCCTCCCGTCTCTCCCGGGGAAAGAGAATACAGAGTAACTCCATAGGCAACTAACAAAACCTAACACCAAAGGCTAACAGGCTCCGGAGCACGCTTCCAAGAGAGCAGCTAGCTTTAAAATCTGATAACACTGTTTCGGGCTCCCCGAAGGCAAGAACAAAGACTCCCGTTTTCCACAAACGGCTATTTTAGGAGACAACACTAAGCGAAGGGAAAGCTTACGAAGCACCTACTGTGCGCCCAGCGCCCTACGCCAGCATCACACCGCCACCGATAGCCGCTAGGCACACACGCCCACTGCAGAAACACACCTGAAAGAACTTCCCTACCTAGACACCCGGTCAAGGACCAAGCAAGCACACGGTCTCCAAACACACCTCCAGGCGGTAAGACCTGGGACGCGGTGGTCGAGCTCTGACGTCTAGAGGTCAGCCCACGTCCCGGAAGGTCAGGAAGGACTCTGGCAACCCCGCTTGGATGATCTAGGATGGGAGGGGGGGGCTCTCCTTCCAAGAGGACAAGGACTATGCAGACCCGTTTCCCCGACTCGCACATTCCAACACCACCGTCCTCGTCACTCCCGAATGCCCCCGCAAGGATGCTGCCGGCCTGGCGCACACGCAGGAGGCCGCTTCTCGGAGAAAAGTGCAAAGACACGCGTCAGCCTGCCTTCATCAGCAAGCCGAAGGTCAACGAGGCTAAATGTGCCCAGACCCGTCGGGGGGTTGGGCTGGGGGGGAAGGGGAGGGTCCTGCAGACCCCCAGGGCCCGGCACTGACCATCGGGCCGCACCGCCCCTCCGGGGACGCACCCCCGCTCGCGGCGGGGACGGGGGTGGGCGCGGGGACGGCCCCGGGCTGGGCGTCCCGTCGGCTCCCGCAGCCCAGGCCCCGCGGGCCGCAGTCTCCCCGCCGCGCGGCCCACGTGCCGGGCCCTCCCCGCGCCCGCCGCCGCCCCCGCGCGCGCCCCCGCGCGCGCGCCCGCCCGCCTCGCTCTGCGGGGCCCCGGGCCCGCGCGCGCCCCCCGCCGCCCGAGTCCCCCGCGCCGCCGGGCAGGCCGCGCCCGCCGCGCCGGCCATGGTGGGCGCCTCACCGTTGGGCTGAGGAGCCGGGCCCGGCTGCGCCATGGCCGGGCGGCGGCCTCGGGGCGCGGGGCGGGCGCGAAGCCGGCGTCCCGGGCTCCCGCGGGGCTCAGCTGGCGGAGGAGGCGTCGACCGAGCCGCCGCCGCCGCCGCCCAGGGAGGAACCGCTAAGGCTGGAGCCGCCGGCGCCGCCACAGCCGCGGGCAGAGACGGACCCGAGCGCCGACCTCCGCCTCCTCATCCTGACAGCGGGAAATAAGCAGTGCGCAGGCGCGGGGGGACGGCGGCACGTGACGTCGCCCGAGGGGCGGGGCGGGGCCTCGCGCGGAGGGGCGGGGCCTCGCGCGGAGCGGCGGGCGGGGGCCGAGTGCAGCGGCCGCGAGGAGGGAGGAAGGATGGAGGGGCGCAGCCTGGAGCGACCCGGGGGCCGTCGGGCTCTCGAGGCGGGCGGGGGGGGCGGGGGGAGAAGGCGGTCGCAGTCCTCCGCCCCGGCGTGGAGGAAGGGACGAGCGAAGTGGGTGCCGATCCAGCCGCACCCTTGTAGCGGTGTGACCTTGGGCGAGTCACTTCCCCCCCCCCGAACCTCACCCGGGCTCAGCTGCGTGGCGGCTTCGGTGCAGGGAAGCGGGAGGAGCTGTTTCTGGCGCACTTGGCATTGAGCATCTGTGTACGAGGTGACTTTCAGGGGCCACGTCCTGTGAAAGCTGCTGAGGACACAGCCAGGCTCTGTCCCCGCGCTCATCTCATCGGATGAGCAGACAGGACCGCCCTCATACCTGGGCCACACCGCCTGCCCGAGGCCCTGTCTGGACACTGCTCCCACACGGTGCACCTGCCCCCTGGGCCCCCCTTCAGGACCACGTTCTGGGAGCCTGTGACCCCAGAACCCCCTCCCCCCGCAAATGGCTGGAGGCTGTGGCCTCTTCCCCAGGCCCATCCCCTCCAGGGCAGAGACGGGCCGTCTGTACAGGTAGCTGAGAGGCAGCCTTATTGGAGGAGGTGGCACATCACGTGGACACTTGAGTTGCAGTGTGGACAAAGTGGGCCAGAGGCCAACAGTCCAGCCCGGCCAGGGCTCCCCTTAGCACCCCAGTTAAGGGGATGAATCTCTGGGGTTCAGGAATTCTGAATCCCTGGTCTTCTCCATCATGGAAGATGTGCATTTGTCAAGATAGAATAGAATATATTAAGGTTAATAGTTAGGTGCAATGATGTACAATTTTAAATAATTTTAAGTAGACATGTAGCATCTGTACATTTGCCCCAAATTCTGCTAGCAAATAGGGGAGGACCCAAATACAGACTTGAGGGTTCTTTTTAATGTTTTATTTATTTCTGAGAGAGAGACAGAGAGAGAGAATCTGAAACAGGCTTCAGGCTCCGAGCCGTCAGCACAGAGCCCGACGCGGGGCTCGAACCCACAGACCGTGAGATCATGACCCGAGCCAAAGTCAGATGCCTAACCAGCTGAGCCACCCAGGCGCCCCCAGACTTGAGTTTTTTGAGCGGTTAATATCCTCCGATGGCTGGTGTAGCTTTGAGAGAGCAGACGGGGTCATTTCCCCTGCCCACTCCCCTCTTAAGTGTCTTTTGTCCAGGAAAGGACAGCCCAGTGCATCCTCTGTCTTGTGATTACTAACACGAGGTCGGGCCATAAAGAGAGCCGATGCTGATGCCCTCTATAGAAGGGACTCCTTCCAGGGAGTGAGAGGTATCTTTATTGCTATTGATAATCTAGGGCTTGAAGCCAGGCCCTCAAGATCAAGGTCACTCGCCAATGGCCAGGCTGCTGGTTTGGCCACCCAGAGCACCCCATGCCAAGCAAGTGTTTAAAAAAGCAGTTTTGCAATCGGTTAGGAGCACACAATCAGATAGGAGCATGTGTACAGTTTTGTACTTTTAGGTAAATCCCAAGACTCAGCAATTCCACCCCTAGGTACGTATTCTAGAGAAAACTAGTGTGTGCTCAAAGCCTTTATTAAGTGTAAAGGGCGTGATTCCCCTATTCTGAAAGAAATCAAGAGGCAAGATGTAAACATATAAGTAAATAATTACTTATCAATTATATTGCATATGTGCCCCAGGAGACACAAACAAGGATATTCAAAGTGGCATAGTTTAAATTATTTTTAATTTTTATTTTTGGGAGAGAGAGAGAGGGAGACACAGAATCCAAAGCAGTCTCCAGGGTCTGAGCATCAACACAGAGCCCGATGCCAGGCTCGGACTCACAAACCACGAGTTCAAGATCTGACCCGAAGTCAGATCCTTGACTGACTGAGCCACCCAGGCGCCCGTCAAAGTGGCATAGTTTTAATATACTAAACAACTAGAGAACCCAAATGTTCATCAACAGTAGAATCGATAAATATTAAATATTCATACGGTGGAATACTCTACAGCAACCATAACGAACAAACTACCCTTAAATATTCAACGTTGATGGATCTCAAACAGCTTTGAGGGAAAGAAGCAAATTATAAAGCAATATAATATGGCATGATCCCATTTATATAAAGTTCCCAAACGGGTTAAACTAAACATGATGCGTACGTGGTAAACTAAACACAGGAGGAGACCAAGCATCAGAGAAATCATGACAACTGTTCCCGAACCAGGGAGGGAGGGCCATCTAATTAACAAGAGCCCACAAAAGGCCTGCTTCTAAGGAGATGGCAACGTGACTTGGGTCCATTTAAATTAATTATAAATATGAGATGCGGATGGACTTTGGGTGACAAAGATTGCAAGGTATTTGCTTAAAATACAAGCTTTAAGTGAATAAACTTGACGCACCTGGTCCTGAGCTGCATTAGTAGAGCCACAGAGGGTAGACCGTAGGAGGTGATGCCTGTCCCGCACTTTGCCCGGATCGGGTCACCTCAGCAGGGCTCGGCTGTGTTCATTCTGGGCACCACTGTTTGCAGGGGGGACGCTGACCAGCTGGAGTGGGTGGGGCTGCAGGGAACGAAGAATCGAAAAATGATCCTGTGCAAAGTTAATAGAGATATCAGAGCAAGGTGCCGGGGGGGGGGGGGGNGGGGGGGGGGGGGGGGGGGGGGGGGGGGGGGGGGGGGGGGGGGGGGGGGGGGGGGGGGGGGGGGGGGGGGGGGGGGGGGGGGGGGGGGGGTGTACAAAGATGACTTGGGATGTGAAACGCTCCTTAAATCCAGGAGGACAGCGGGAACAGATGCGCTGTGTGTCTGACTGCAGACTTCAGCTCAACCCAAAGAGGAACTTTGTCTCCGCAAGAGCTAACCAGGGAGGGGCGCCTGGGGGGCTCAGTCGGTGAAGCGTCCGACTTCGGCTCACGTCATGATCTCGCTGTCCGTGAGTTCGAGCCCCGCGTCGGGCTCTGTACGGACAGCTCAGAGCCTGGAACCTGTTTCATATTCTGTGTTTCCCTCTCTCTCTGACCCTCCCCTGCTCACGCGCTCTCTCTGTCTCAAAAATAAATAAACGTTAAAAATTTTTTTTAAAAAAGAGCTAACCAGGGAGAGAAGGGGCTACCTTTTGAGGAGTGAGCCTCCTATCACAACAAGTATGCAGGAGGGGCTGGCTGGCAGTTGGGCAGAGGTGCCAGAGAAGTATTCCTGCCCCAGCGGGGGGTTAGATTAGACCATCTTTACCGTCCCCTTGAGCCTCGGGGATGCTATAATGACAACGACAATAGTAAGTTTGCCGCATTCTAAGGTTCACCAGGTGCTTTCCATGTATTATTTCATTTTATTGACAGCAACCCGAAAGGTGGACAATAGACACACAGGAGATAAGCCAAATGTTCCCGGAGAAATTCCATTTCAAAATTCTATCCTGTGCAGACATGGCTACCAGACCAGGGGTCCCAACCTGGGACTCAGCGAAGAGCACTCAGTAGTGCTGGGGTTCTCTCTTTCCACGACCCAGATTCTCACGGGCAGGAAGGAACCGGGGAGTGAAGTCAAGGCACTGTGCTTTTCTGGCCTTTGATGAAGGTTATGGGGGAGGGACGGGAATGATGGGGACTCTCTCCCAGGGGCACTGTCTGTGTCCAGGCACCGGGACACTTGGGAAGTCCCAACCTGGACGCGGGCTTCCTCACTAAGGGTGCCCAGGAAGGGCCCACCGGTGACACGCACCTTTATGTCCTCAGCCATAATCCCCCCGCCTGGTCTCCCCGATCATCCCCTGGTCCGGCCGCCCCAGAGCAGCAACCTTCCCCTCCTGGGGCCTGGGGTGGGAAGACGGTGATCGGGGATCCTGCCTCGCTCCATCCCTCTCCCAGGAGAGACGTGTGCGCACAGAGAGCCCCACAACAGAGGGACGGCCTCCTTCACACTCTCACGAGATGGAAGCTGGCGTCCAGGGAAGAACCCCAGGCTTGGAATCAGAAGACCCAGAATTCTGGCACAGATTAGCTGTTGACCCAGAAGGCTCTGTTTGACCTCTCTGAGCCCCTGTTTACTTAGCTCAAAGGCTAGAACCAGACCAGCGTCATGGCCCATCAGGACGGCCAAAGAGATCAAGCACCCAGCACCTAACATGTGCTAGTTTCTCTGCAAACATCTGCTCCCACCTCTCCGTCTCTCCTCTCCTCCCTTTTCCCTGATTCATCGTTTTCCATCCTGGTGGTGAGGGCTCCCTGGACCTTAGGAGTCAGTCAGGGAAGGTATTCCTAGAAATCCAGGGCAGAAATTCCCAATATTTTCAAAGCTTAATGGAACCATCCCTTCCGCCTCTGCGCTGGCCGTGCTGGGCCTGCTTGGGATTCTCTCTCTCTCTCTCTCTCTCTCTCTCCTTCTCTCTCTGCCCCTCCTCAGCTTGTGCTTGCACGCTCTGTCTCTCAAAATAAATAAATAAGTTTAATTAATTAATTAAACATCAAGTTTCTGTGCTTTGGACAGAAGCTATAGCACATTGCTTATCTGATGCTGATTAGACATTCTTTAATTTTTTTTATGTTGTTTTTTTTTTATTTATTTCTGAGAGAGACAGACAGCGTGAGCAGGGGAGGGTCAGAGAGAGAGGGAGACACAGAATCCGAAACAGGCTCCAGGCTCCGAGCTGTCAGCACAGAGCCCGACACGGGGCTCGAACCCACGAACCGTGAGATCATGACCTGAGCCAAAGTCGGACGCTCAACCGACTGAGCCACCCAGGCGCCCCTGATTAGACATTCTTATTCCAGGTTTTGTTTTTTATATATAGTTTTGAGAGAGAGACAGACAGAGCATGAGTTGGGGAGGGCCTGAGCTGT